TTTGGAGAATATGTCCTATGAGGAGCAATTGAAGGAACTGGGGCTGTTCAGTCTGGTGAAAACAAGGCTGAGGGGAGACCTTATTGCTCTTTTCCAATACCTGAAATGTGATTGCAACAAGAGCAGGGTTGGACTCTTCTCACTGGTGACAGGTGACAGGATGAGGGAAAATGGCCTCAAGTTACGCAAGGGGAGGTTTAGGTTGGATATCAGGGAACACTTCTTTACAGAAAGGGTGGTTAAACACTGGAATAAGCTCCCCAGGGAGGTGGTTCAGTCACCAGCCCTGGATGTGTTTAAAAACCATTTGGATGTGGTGCTCAGGGACATGATTAAGTGCAAGGTTGTTAGAGTTAGGGTAGTATGGTTAGGTTGTGGTTGGACTTGATTTTTAAGGTCTTTTCCAACCTGAGGTATTCTATGATTCTTTGAAGTAGAATAGTTTTGCTAAATGAGTGTGTTTCCATGGAACGGGCACTCTAGCCTTGCTTTGCTTTGGTAAAGATGGATCTTTACCAGTATCATATTCATTGTGAAGAGACAAGAAATAGTCAGTAATGAATAAAGTGATATGAAGGAAAATCTCTCTCTTATTCTTAAATCGATAATTGGAAAGTTGGCATGTCCAAAACAATGAGTTTGGAATGATTATAACAACATTAAATTGAAACAGCCAATTTCACTCATGCCAAGTCTCTCAAAATGTGCAAGATTTTAAAACATCTTATGAATAAGTATAAGTCTTGGATGGTCTGTGAAAAAAGCAGAAGGCTTTTGAGGATCCTATTAATAGAAGGATGATAATTTAACCTGGGAGGAAAGATAAAATGTGAGCATATTGGTTGTTGTTGCAAGCAACTAATATGCATTCCCAGTGATTTCACAAAAAGCAAATTCTTTGAGGGAGAATTTGTTCTTGGGGAGCTGATCAACTGCCTTACTTGAGATTTCTAGCCCTAGTAGGAAGCACAGTACTTTTAGTATCACTTGCTGAGACATAGTGTATGTGATCTTCTATCCTTTGCAGAAGTCTGTCCACATTTCTCCCACTACCTCCATGCCGGAGTTCCTTCCCACCGCTTATTTCCCTCATTTTGCTGAATCCTGTGTCAAGGAACTTGATCCCTTCTCCAGTTCTGCTGTTCTGCAGGGCTTTCACAGATGTTCAAAAATATTTAAGTACTCTCATAGCACTGTTTTGATTTTCACTGTAAATAGCAACCTGAAGTCAGAGGAATGCCTGAAATTAGGACAACTTCCTAGCTGCTCGTGATATATTTTGCACTGTGTAGTTAGTTCATGAGGACTATTTAAAACAGATTCCTCATTAGCATAATATTTTTGCATATTAAATGTTTTATATGGCATTTCTGAAGCTACTATGGGCAATAAGCATAATGGCTTTCCCATGAAAAAAATGTTTTGCTGATAAATGTACTAATGAAGGTGTTTTCGCTCCTTAATATTGCTTGTAATCATCACATGCTGTCCTAACTTTGACTTGTGTGTGTTATCTGTGAACGCCAATGAGCTCACACTACTGATCTTCCTCAACCTACTGTTGGCTTTGTTATGCCAAATTCTGCTTTCCATTGTATAGGTGGAAGTAACTTCTTTGATGCTAAATGGATCAAAAGTTGTTAATCACCTCACTAACTTTTCCAAGCGATTTTACATAAAAATCCATACTTTTTCCAGAATTAGTTTCTAGAAACTACTTCAACACAAATGGAAAGAGCACTGTGCCAGACTTGTTTCACCAAGAAGCAGAATGGGCTGGACAGAAGAGAAAGTGGCATGCAAGGTGACCTCCACTGCTCATGGTTAAAATCATAAAATCGTAGGATAACCCAAGTTGGAAGGGACCCATAAGAATCACTGAGTCCAATTCCTTGCTCCATACAGCACCATCAAAAATTCAAATGATAGGTCTGGGAGCGTTGGCTAGATGCTCCTTGAACTCTGGCACTTGCTGCCCTGGGCAACCTGTTCCATGCCCACCAAACCCTGTGCAGAACCTGTTCCAAATATACAAGCTGGTCGTCTCAACATTGGGCACTTGGGCAGCAGCTGAAATAAGGAGTTGGTCTATAGGGATGCCAGGGCAGAAGAATATTTGCATGGTCTGGTCTCAGGCAGGAGGCGGGCTAGGTAGGACATAGCGAAGTAGATTAGATCTGCAGACATGAGAGGGTGTTTAATAGGTCCTAGATCTAGAGAGAGATGATTTAGCACCACATAAAGCAAATGGATGGCTTGTTGAGGTGTATCAGTAGGAGTACTGAGTCACAGCTCATCATCTGGAAAACTAAGTTTGAGTGCTACAACAACCCAGCAGTTGCTGTGTATATTCTGGGAGCAAAGGGAAAGTGACAAGTAATGCTTTTTGGAGCATATTATAAAAGAAGGGGGTTTTATCTTCTGGATGTTTCCATCCTGTAAGTTTTCCTGTCAGATTTGAGAGAACAGTATTTCACTTGGCTTTCAATTTGCCTCTGAATTCTGGTAACAATGGCATTTATTCTTCCAAATCTGAGTTGCTGAAGAAAAAATGTCAGAGCTGTTTGGGAAGTGGCTGGGACAGAGGAGTGAAAAATAGTGAGTCAGTGCATGGATGAGCTGGATTTCTGCATCTCACAAACTCATGCAAACAAATAGGATAAAACCTGGTTAATCCTAATTGTGAAGTGACCAAACATTTGCTTTCTTGATTTGAAAAATGAGAAAAAAACAGTGTTTCTCTTCTGGTGGGCTGGCTTTCAGACCGGCTTCATGTGAGAAGGCTTGATGACTTCTCTTTCTAAAGAACCCATGCAGCAGACATGCTTTAGTGATAAAGACCAGAACTTTCTTATAGAATTCAATACATTCATAATAGTTATAGGTAAGACACCTGCAGACAGAGCAGCATATTTATGGAGGGCTTAGTGGAAAATGGCATGGTTCTTTTAGACCAGAGCTACGTCAGCTCTGTCTCTGCTGCTGATGCATTTTTTGAAGAGACACGGTGCAACAAGCCCATCCCTGAAGGCTCTGACAGACCTCAGTAGGTAATTACAGAATTTTAGAGTGCCGTTTACTGGCCAGGAACTCTTCTAATCTGACAGTTACATTTAATCAAAATTTAGTTGCAGAGGGAAGAGTGGGAAACGTATCATTTTCAGTATATCTCAAGTATTATAATGTCAAGGAGTGGGAGGATAAACATCCAATCTGAAGTTAACATAGTCGTTATTACTTATTAGATGTAAATACTGGTGCTGTAGGTTTAACAGCAGCCTTTGTAAGCAAGGCTACGAACAACAAATGTTAAGTGCTCACATTGACTTACTGTAAGAGAATGCTGCCAGATGGGTACCTGATCCTTGTGGGTCCCTTCCAACTTGGGATATTCTATGATTCTGTGATTTCTGGAATGAAGGGCCAGGACCTTTTACTCGGCTGGAGCATAGTCAAAGTGCTCTTACTGAATGCATGTACCAATGGCTATCCTCATCTCCATGGGATTATTTGTACCTTTTTAGCAAAAGATTTGTTTGATTTTAATCTTTTTTGCATCAAACACATCTGCACAGCTAGAATGTTGAGTAATGAGGTGAAATTAAATCTTTTAGACTTTTTTTTTTTTCTTTCAAATAAGCACCTTTCTGTGTTGCTATTAGAAACATGTCTTCTGTTTGCTGCTTTAACTACCTACAGACTTTTGGTTTATCATTTATTAAACGTTCAGATGGTCTGGCACCTCACTTGTGAGACACAAGGAGAGGAACTGAAACCAGCCTAAATTCTGCAAAGGACCAGACACAGGCAAGGTTTTATTTTTGTAGTTCACTTCTTAATATCATCAGACTACAGCATGATACCAGCATCTGTGAGAGGTCTGCATGGCTTTTTGGTTTGCTTTGAAAAGTTTAGATCTTACATAGAATCACAGAGTAGAATCATAGAACCGTATGAGTTGGAAGGGACCCTCAAAGGCCATCTAGTCCAACCATGCAATGAACAGGGACACCTACAGCTACATCAGGTTGCTCAGAGCCCCCACCCAGCCTGACCTTGAGTGTCTCCAGGGATGGGGCATCCACCGCCTCTCTGGGCAACCTGTGCCTCACCACTCCTATTATAACTAGTTCCTTATATCCAATCTAAATCTCCTTTCTTCCAGTTTGAAACTATTTCCCCCTTGCCCTATCCCAACAGACCCCGCTAAGGAGTTTAAGTAAAACATTTGAATTGAATGTAGAACTTTAGTGAAATGTTTGGGGAAGGTAAAGATGGTTTCCTAGCCACTGTAGATGCTACTGCTCTCAAAAGAATGAATGCAACAGATTTTTATATGACAAATTTGAAAATATGGGTCCATATGACTGCACCAAAGCACTGAGTTCCTCCCAGCACTCTTGAAAGTTGGCCGGACTGCCGGATCGCACTCATAATGTCAGTATCACAGTGAAAAAACATGTGATCAAGGAAAGATGCAAACCCAATCATTGAAATGCAGAGCTCGTTTCCAACATTCATATACAACAGGCAAAAAAACCAGAGAATACAGGAACAGTCAGCACAGGACAGGCTGCTCTTCCCTTTGTGCCAGAGCCGTGACAGCACGCACAACCTGAACTGCTGCAGTTCTGCTTAGGATACGTCTTTTCAACACTGATGTCTGCGCGTGTACCTGCTGCTTCGGCACCGTGCGCTGGTTTCCGAGAGCCGACCTCCTCCAGCGAGGTCATCCCTCACCACCAGCTGCCGGAAAGCCGCCAAGAACCGGGCTTCCAGCATCTTCCCGAACACGCACAGGGCGACAGAAATGCGGACACCTCGGGTGCCGGGGTTGGGGCTGCGCGCACAGGTGGGAGCGAAGCCTCCGGAGGCCGCCCCGCCCGGGGCCGCTGCGGAGCGGCTGTGGGCGGCGCGGGGGCGGGCGCTGCGTGGGCCGCGACGGCGGGGCGCGGACAGGTGGGCTGGCGGGGGGCGGGCCGCGGCCGTGTGTAGGCAGCGGAGCGGCTGCGGAACGGCGGCGGCGGTGGCGTCGGGAGCCCCGGCCCCGCGATAAAAGGGAAGGGGCTGGGCGGCGGGCGGTGCGCGTTGCGGCACTGGGGGGGGGGAGCGTGGCTGGGAAGGAGGGAGGGAGCGAGCGAAGGAGCCGCCTCCCGCAGGAATCCCGGGCGGGTGGCAGTAACAGTAGTAGCAGCGGCGGCAGCCGGGACGCGCGGCTCCCCCTGGCTGCGCGGCGGCGGGAGGCCGGTGAGCATCGAGGAGCAGCCGCCGCCTCATCCTGCGGCAGCAGCCGGCGCTGCACGGAGAACGCAGGTGGGTGCGCGGCGGTCGGGGTGCGGCGGGGGCCCGGGCCGGGGGGGGAGGTTGTGGGGCGGTGCCCGGCGCGCACCTGAGAGGGCGGGGGGTGCGGGGGGAGCCGGAGGGTTACCTGGGACGAGGTTTTAGGGCTCAGACAGGCGACGACGGTGCTTGACGTTATTGATTTTAAATCAACGCGTTTGTTTAATTTTAGACGATTGACGAGCATCTCATCTTTAAAGATGCGCTTTGCGAGAGCGTTCTCGGAAAATCGCGCTTGATTTCGGTTTCTATTCCAGTCTGTGGCTTTCTGATTATTATTATTATTTTTTTCTTTCTTCGGCTGACGTAGAGCCTCGTGCGGGGCGCTCCCCGATGGGCGCAGGTCCGCGGGCGGCGGCACTCGCACACACGCGCGGCCGCGGAGAGGGGAGATAAGTTACTTTCTGTCCGTGAAAGACTTGGTAGCTTTTTCCCAACCAGAGCCCCGCTGGGCAGTACGCACACGGTGGCTTCCAGAGAAAACGTATGAGCCATCCTTCGCTGGAACAACGGGGAGTACACGCAGACGTAAAGCTAGCGTTCCCCCGGAGCTTGCGTTCCGAAACTTTGGTATTCGGCGAAACCCCTGTTCTAAAAGCTTCGCTGTTTTCCAGGAAGAGTTGAGTGTTTTATTTTATCGTATCTTCAGGAAATGGTTAACGTGGGAGTTCTGGGTACTGTGTATTTGGTTTGGGTGTCGGGGTGTAATTCGGCGGAATCCGTGGCGTGTTGCAGTGACCACAGAATGAATCGAGAGTCGTTCATCGCTTTAAGAAGTTGAAGATCGCTTCAACTCTGTGATATGTCCCTCTGAATATCGGCTTCTGTTGTACGCCTTCTTCACAAGCTATGTAGAGGCAGCTAAACCAAGCGTGAAGCTTACATCTCTGTAAAACTGTGTTCGTTTTTCAGATGGGAAAACAAATCAAATCAACCTTCATATTTACCAAGTAATTAAGTGCAAGTGTGTTTGTGTTCCCACTTCAGAAATCCCACCTGCTTTATCAAGGTGTTTGGGTGTCCATAAGGCAACAAAGGATACATAAAAATCTGTACAGCTCTTAATTGACTCGGAGAGTTGGAAATGTTTTGTTGGGTTAAATTAGGATTTTTCATCCTTCCTGAAACTGAGTAGAGAGAACATTGCAAATGACTCAATTCCAGGATTTTAACACTTTTTTTTTTTTTTTTTTTTTTTGCCATGGGGAATACTTTAGAATGGTTATGTCGGAAAGGCAAGTGAGCTGAAATGTTGTGGTAGTAAGATCTGCAGCATTAAATCCGGCTCATTTCTCTTGTATGACTACAGGTGGCAGTGTAGAAGCCAAGAACAAAAATTGGCAGAAATTACATTCTGTGTACGAGAGAATGAAGAGTATACTCATGACTAAGCACAGGAACCTGGAAAACCACAGGTATGTGAAGTGATTCATACAACTGCCTACGGTGCCCCCAGTATTCCTGGCACAATAGGTATTCTTGGATAATTAGCTCTTACTGTGACTATGTTAATTGATAAGGAAAATGCTATGTCTGATTACTGAAATGAAAAAATAATAAAATACTTTGAATGCAGTATGCAATGAGAGGTGGGATTTTCAGATTTCTTATGGTGTATGTTAACTATGAAGAATCAGAGCATGGTTAAGTTGCATGAAGATTCAGTTTATTTCCTTCTAAATACCTAGATCTATATTGATAAAGTTGAGTGCAGTTACATCCCTGAATATGCTTGAAATGGAGAAACGTCAAATATTATAGGCATGGAAACCTTCCTGTAGAATCGTTTTATGAACAATGAATAGAAAGCATGAAGAGAATGAGAGATGTAAATAAAGATGTCATTTCAAATACTTATCTGGGTGTGATGCTTTATAGTGCTCATTTCTGCTGGGGAGTGGGGGGGTGGTGGGAGGGAGAGGCAGTACGTAAGAGCCCATGATTAGCTCTCATGCTTCTAAGAAAAGGGAAGTACCAGGCTACCTGATTAAATAATCTCTCATTAATTAGGAATATTAGAGTACAACAAAGCTCTTCTTGTATGCTTATGTCATTGTGGACAGTCTGTAGAAATTAGTCCATGGGTCTGCATTCCAGGATACCTGGGAAGCCATGGAGGATGGGGTGAACTCAGAGCTGGAGGGGTTTTTGGAACTTGTGAATGGGAAGTTATCCTGGTAAAGTGATCAAGTGCCACCACCACTGTGTTTATAAATGTTTGGCTTTTTTTTTTTATGCTTTAGGAAGGCATTCTGTCTAAAGCTTTGAATTGCTTTTGAGAGAACATGGTGTTCCCATGTTCACAGATGACCAAGTCACCTTGTACAAAGTGGGAACGCATTTGCAGATGGTTTATTTCACTGTCTGTCATGTTATTGATCATCACTTACTTCTGTATGTTGACTCGCTTAGGCATAGCTGGGGAGGAGGAAGTCTGCAGCACTAAGGCCTATATGGCCATGTAGTTTTCATTGTTATCACTTATTAAGCAAAACAGCTAAGCAGTTCATCCAACTTAAACATGGCTATTCACAAAGGTTTTGAAAAATGTTTCTGATGTAGTAAAGGTCAGTATATGCTTATGGCTTTGTCAAACAGTGCTGAGCTCATTAGTTTGTGCCAACGTGTTGAGAACAGAAAATGAAACTGTTAGGGGTACAAAATTTTAATGTAGTCTCCCATTACATCAAGTGTTTGCTAAAATATTAAATAAAACTGTTAACTAAGCAACGTGCTGCTCGAGAGTTCAATCTACAGATGCTTCTTTGTGCTAATTAGGAAGTATTGACATCAATGAATGAAACTACTTGTTAAAGTGCCTTCTAGAGTGTATAGCAGTTACGTGTTCATAAGATGATTCATAGCATTCAGCAACTTGTGATGAGTTTCCCTGCCATTACTGGAGATTATGAAGTATCTACTGTATTTGCACTACATTTTTTTTTTTAATTAGCTTTAATGGTGGAAGGGGAATTTTCTATCAACTGAAAGATCAGGCCTATTTTATGAATTCATTAATTATTTTTCTCTTTATTGTATGGTGCAATCTATCATTAACAATAAAATGAAATGTTTAATCATGCCTATAAATACAGTGGGGTGTGTGTGTGTAAAACTCTCAGGACTTATGATGTTCTTGAAAATTGTGTGTATCATGTCAAGTTTGCTATATTGTATTAGTTGTAATTGAAAGAAGAGTTTTCAGTAAGAAACCTGAATTTAACATCTAAAACAGCAGAGCCAGCGTAGAACTCTGTCTGACTGTATGCAGGATATATTTGTAGGTGCTGCTCTTCTTAACGGTACTGCAGATGTTGCATCTTAGAAAACATCTCAGAAAACTGTCCAGTGATTGTTTTGAACTGAAAGCTATGGCTGATTATGCATTTTTATTGCCTCAAAACTGTGCAAGCCCCTCAATGCAATCAGTCATTTCACACTAAAACAACAATGGGTATAGTCTGTTAGACTACCAAGTATGATTGCTTGACTCTTTGCAAAAATATTTGTTAACATAGGAGTATGTCTGAGGCCATTTAGCTTAGGCACTTTGGCTACTCAGACTGAGACTGATACCAGTTCTCCAGTTAGAAAAGGGTAGCATTTTATTAATCTTAGCGTTAATACAGCTGTTAGACCAAAGATATAGCTACAGCACTGGAAGATACTCATTGTAGGCTATTATAACTGAGGGAGGCTCTTGTGAAAGTCACAACATGCAAAGTACATGTATACAGTTAAGTATCCTTAGCTAGCAAATGTGTAAAATAAAGTCCTGGGGATGTAGTTCTTCAGCCATCTCTAGGTTGGGTGCCTCTGGATTTATTATACAAGTGTATCCTAATGCAGAAGGACACCAAAATTTTAAAGAAGAAATGATCCTGAAATTGTATTCTATAGGAGATCTTTCTCTTAGGTGACGGCCAAGTTTCCTTTTTCTCTAAGAATACCCTTCCATGGTGTTGATCCTCAATGGCAGGAGGGTATCTCCTGTTGTAGTAAGAAGGTGTAGTTAAGTGGAGTGCAAGTGGATTTATGATGCCAAAAGGGAACACATCATAACCTTGCAACTGCATGCCAAACTGACTCTCATCGAGAGAAGACTAGACCATCTCATACCTTATACGAAAATGGAAAGCGCATATGGATCAAGAAGACACAGCCTCTGGGGCTGGAAGTCCTTAACACTGCTACATGTTGGACAGGAGTTGACAAAAATGATGTAGAAACAGTGTGGAACTGCTTGAATAAAATTCAGTCCCATTTAGAGGGAAGCCTGGAAGGATGGATGATCAGATTAAAGTAAAGAGTTGCTATGCAGTGCTTAGAACTCTAGAACCAGGTATTTAGTGTCTCCATTTTATTTTTCGAAGTTATTGATGGTATAGATGTACTAGAGATAAGCTAGCAGGATGCACATTAAGATGTCGGAGAAAGTCTAGTAAGAGGACAGGCCAAAGGAATAAGATGCTTGCAGCCAGTCTGGAAATTAAAGCTATTGATCAGAGATCCAGAACAAGTAAATATCCTTTAACAACTTTTTTCTCTGATGCTTTAAAAAATTGCAAAAAAAAAAAAAAAAAAAAAAAATTTAGCTTGGATAAGCAGCAGAACAGAGTAGACTAGAAGAAATATATCCTTCACAAACTTGTGCTGTCTGGTCACTTCTGCTTTTGCCAAATAAAAGTAATAAATATGAAACTTGGGTGAATTCAGAACAAAATGCACAGTAAAAACAGTGAAAGTCTGAGTGATTTATAAAGCATGGAGAAGCTTGTCAGAAGTCATCTTTAAAAGCATCAGAAAGGGAGGAGCCATTGGGCCAATGGATGGCTGAGGTTTGTAGTGTTCAAAGAAGATTGCACTGCACTGAGTTACTGATGTGAGTTGTTCATTTTTGCTGTGCAGGGGCACTGAATTCACCAAAGAGCTGTAGATCTCCCGGTGTAAAATGCTGAACTAGTGGCTGTGGTGTTTAGTCTTGCAGTATTGCTTTGGTACTAGTGAAGTTCAGATCAGCAAATGTGATGTCAGGTTTTTAAGGAGGCTACCAGAAAACTTACAGGAAAGAACAGGACAAGTATGGCGTTTGTACCATCCAGTTTGCTAGTGACTGTAACAAAGAAGAGAAGTAACGGATCTGTGGGCAAATTTGCTCTATCAGGAAGGAGTCAGCACTGTCTTTGTAGAGTTGCCTCATCAGTCTGGGTTCTCTGAAGATGCTGATATTGTGAGTAAGTATAAGATCTAGCTGATGCAGTAAGCTTGAGTTTCCAAAAATTTTTTTGAGAAAGACTCACCTTTGGTGCTTAGCAAAATGAAACTATTATGACATAAGAGGAAAGTCCTCTCCTAGATTTACGACTAACCAGTTGTAAAATAGACTAGGAATAAATGATATGTTCTTATAGTGAGGACAGCAAAAATAAGTCAGTTATGAAGATCCCTGTATTTAAAGGAAGGGGAGAAAAAAAGGGGCTTGATAGTAGAAATAGAAATGGGTGGCGTGATGATAAAGAGTAATTAAATAGCTTAGTAGTATTCAGCTTGACGAAGAAACAGCTGAAGGTGAAAATGATAAAAATCTATATAGGAGTGTAACGGAAAGGATGAGTAGGGTATGCTCAGTAACCATCTCCTGTAGTATGAGACCCAGAAGGGATAAAATAAAATTATCAGGTGGCAGATTCAGAACAAAATAAGAGGTTGCGTTTTTCTTGCACTGAGTAGTTTAACTGCGAGCCACTAGAAGTTCAGCTGAGTTTGGGCATCCAGTACAAAAGCACCATCTCATGCTTAAAAGAACAAGCCACAGTTTCTTGAGAGCTGGGAGGATCGTGAAGTGCTTTCCCTGTTTGAATGTATTTCCCTGGACCTCTGTTCCCAACCTCTGTGAAAGATGCAATATATGGGATAGGTGTATCTTTGGTTTGACTGAATACAGCAGTTGATACGTAAAACAAAGACTAATAGCAGTCCCTTGAAGAAAACACTGACTATATGCCTCTCCTGATACACTGAGGACGTTTTCTTTATTTTATTAGGCCTAATAACTTCTTAACTGCTTTTCTTTTAAGACTACTGGTCCTCATTGTACCAAATTGATACTTCAAGTTTAGTGCCCATACGATGGACGTGATACCTCTTTGTTCTGAGGTGCCAATATTCAATGTTTGCCTAAATTTATTGGGTACTTATTGAAGTTTATCTTCAGATCAACTGAATTAAAAACCTAACTGCAAAAAAATAAAGTTTAAGTTGGAAGAATTGGAAGCAGGTTTACCACATAATAAAATGCTTATCTATATATTAAAAGGAAAAATACATTTTTTGAATCATGAATATAGAATCATAGAATCCTTAGAGTTGGAAGGGATCTCTTTAGGCTGTTTAGTCCAACTCCCCTGCAATGAACAGAGAAACCACAGCTAGATCAGATTGCCTAAGGCTTTATTCAGCCTCACCTTGGAAGTCTCCAGGAGCTGGGGTAAATATGGAAGATAAATTTCCATTTCCTATTAATAGGATGAGATTACATCTAGGTTTTTGCCTTATCCGAACATTTAAGGTACATTACAGTGAAAATTGGAGAAAATAGGTTATTAAGAGCAAAGGATAACTTGACTGTTAAGTGTTAAAATTGCATTTAAATATTAAAAGAATGTAGAAATTACAGAGGAATTATTGAGTCATGCAACTCAAATGACAAATGGAACTAGGGGGAAAAAAAAATAACATGATGAGTCTGGGAAGAAAAGTCTCCCAGTGCTGTGTCCTATAAGCATATGTCAGTACAACCAGCAGAGTACTGCAAGCTGTAAGGAGTTAGGAGATAAGTGTTGGATATATTCAAAGGCTGACTTTAGCTGAGGAAAGTTAGTTGTCTTGGGTTCCTTTGGGCAGTCACAGCAAATCAGCATCTTCAGTGAGTGATACGGGGTACCCAAAACCAGTTTCTACTTTCTATTATCCTCTAGTGGAGCCTTTCCCTGTCCACGCAGACCATAGATTGACAAGGGAAGCACAGACTGGTGGCCCCACTGAGTTCAAATTTCCCTTTCTATGCAACCATTCTGTGTGCTAGCATGAGACCTGGTTTTTATAGATGTTTTAGTAGGTCACTTTTCTTTTCCAGTGATACTGGAATAAAAATACACAGGAAGACAATAGTAGCTAAGCCCATTTCTAAAGCTTTAGTGAAGAAAAGGTTATTTTAGACTTCCTAAAATTCAGATTGTCCTGCAGTTTTCAGTACTTGCGTGACAGAGTTGACTATGTTAAAAATAAGAATAAACAACTTAAAGAAAAATAAAATCGGAGATTTTTCTGAAACAAAAAGATTAAATCCCACAGAGAGATTATATCAAGTTCTTTAAACTACTAATGCTGGATAATAGGGCATGCTTGGGTATGTATCCCTCCAAACGCCCTAATGCACTCTTGTTTCTCGCTGATGGAAGGAGATCCAGTTTTCTCAGGATCTCTTTGAGCACTAGTTAGAGGTTTTCTATCTACTTAACAGTAGAAAGCATACTTCAAACTTTTTTTTTTTTGTTTTAGTTTTATTTCCTATAGTGGGATATGATGCAAAACAAATAAAATATAACAAAAAAAAATCTCAGTTCTGCCTCTGTTGACTTATGCATTAAAGTAATGATGCTGAACCAGTGGCAGTCTGTCATTAAAAGAGAATTTATACAGCAGTAAGACCAGACATCCTAAAACAGTTTTTTATTAGTGCTGTACTCTGGGGGTGAGACTTCCAAATAATTTAAAACTGTATTTTAAAATGTAATGCATGATCTTAAACAGAAAAGAGAACACACCAGCCAAGCACACCTCTCAAGTAGTATTTATCCCAGTGTTATCTGAAGAAACGGATGCTTCTGTGCATCTTTTATTGCATGAAATCAGCTCTTTGGAAGCTGCTTCAGTTGGATTTTTCTGATGCAGAGTCCTCTGAGAAGACTGAGAACGCTGTGTTATTCAGTATGGTGAAACATCTGCATATACACTAAACCTTTTTTATTTTCTTTTAAATGTTAACTGGGCTTGATGTTTTTCTTCTTTTTTTCTTCTTTCTCCTTTTTTTGTTTTGGGGGTGGTGCCTGGCTCTGCAGTTACACTCTAATATTTTGCAAATAGTTGATTGTATTTGTTAGTTTTCATCTGGATGGTTCTTCCTGTTCCTGATAGTTGAAGTGGTTGTGCACTCTATAATAAAAATAATAATAATTCTGAAGTCAAAATGAAAGTCACATGCTGTCCTTGACTCAGATTTCAGTTATACAAAGACTGTGTTGCTCACAAATGAAGCTGTAAACTCTTAGTAAACTCTTAGGAAACTATAGATAAAATGGAAGCCAGAGCCCAAAGCAAAACTAAACAACTGCTTATCGGGCCTCTGCTGAACCCAGTGGCTGGGGATAGACATACTTCTGACATCACCTCCTGCAGCCTTGTATCTTGCTGGTTCCTGAAATGCAAGTCTGCAAGTTCAAGGGGATGAAATTGTTGCAGACCACTTTTTGTCCTTTTAGATGTGCTTTCTATTATATTTTTGTTTCTCTGCTTTTTCCCCCAGCCCTACTTTGCAGTTTTACTGTTCATCATCATCCAAATGCCTGGATATTATACTTTATTGTTTATGTTCACTTATCTCATTATTTTCTGAAACTTCTAAATATCATCTTCCTCTTTCCTTCTCTCCGCCCACAGGTAAATTATGATTCCAATGAATATTTGATAGTGTGTGAAAGATACAGACATAACATTAACTCAAATCTGGCCACTTTAGAAAGTTTAAATATGTCTTTATTTTCAGTGAGAAAAAGCTGGGCTAACTAAAGTGGTAATGTGCTACATCAGTTTTCTGGTGAGAAATGCCTTGTGAACGTTGTTTGGTTCAACATATTTTACCTCGCAAAATAAATGAGCATATGATTGATAACGGAGACCAAGCCAGTACTGGCAACTTCTTTACCAATGTCATCTCAGTTACTTTCTGATGTGGGCATTTGCATATTGAATGAGGAATTTGTAAAGGTGAAAGTGCCTGTAGAGTACGGTTAAGATGCTTTTGAACAGGATTGTTCTGTTGAATGCTTCCTGATCTCTCAGACAATAGCATAACTAACTTAAAAATTCCTTTGCGCTCTTGGTTTAATACAAAATGACCCTGTGAACAGACTGCTGAAAAATCTGCCGACAAAAAAACCTTCTGATTTTTCTGTATTAGTGCTGTAGCCAAGAGGTCAGTCATGGCTACACTTGCTCTCACTTTTCTGTAATCCACTTCTTTGCAGTACAGCTTCTGTTGAGTGTATGAAGGACAAGGTTGTTGACCCCACAGATGGTAACTAGAAGATAAGGTTGCCATAGGTAGAGATGTTGGCTTATTTTGTGACTGTGCTGCTCACAAGAAATTGTTCTATCAGAGAAGCAGCTGAATTACCTCCCTGTTTTTTCCTTCAGACCACTTGAAGAGAGTTTAGCTCTTCTGTGGGAAGAATGAACACAGGTATAATTCATAGAACCATTTAAGTTGGAAAAGATTTTCAAGATCATCAGATCCAACCACCAGCCTGACC